CATATCATAATCATGCTGTTAGGCATATCTGGGATGTCTGACCTACCCATTGGTCGTAGCGATCGAATCGAGGACTAGTCCCCTCCTACCAATACTATCACATATAACACATCATGCTAGCATACACACATATCAAGCAATGGCAAACCAGAAAATTATCAAAAAGACAATCGTCCCAACTAAACAACTACTAGTGGGCCGGCCTTGGTGCCTTAGACCCACTTCTACTGGAAGGTAACTCACCTCGATGTCGTGTAGTGCTAAACTGTCCTCGGTGTGAAAATCGACTCTCCTCGACTCCGAAATCCCTACACGACAACCCTTTTAAGTTATTAATCAGAACTTGTAACCCTAACAAGGGTCAACTCAAATCCGGTCAAAGTCAACATCCAGTTGACTTGACTCGCCGAGTTGGCCTACCAACTCGTCGAGTCTATATTCCTCTAACCCAATACAAACCCGACTATACTCTTCGAGTCTAGCAAGGACTCAACAGGTTCTCCTTCAATCATACTATTGGGACCATCTTCATCCGACTCGCCGAGTTCATTATTTAACTCGTCGAGTTCATCTCCCTCATATGAATGTGTCCAGTCTATGACTCGTCGAGTTGTATGAACAACTCATCGAGTCCATCTTCATGTGTTGGGAGATTGCCTTGGACTCGCCGAGTTTGCTCAAACATTCGTCGAGTCCCATGACTCCCAGGTCCCTAATGAGCCTAAACAATTGAGGGACCTTCCATTCTAGCACCCGGTCCATCAACATAAAGGATTTTGTGGCAAATACACCCTGACTCACCGAGTTCCAAAAGAGACTCGCCAAGTCCATCCTTGATCACAACTGTACAGTCGATTTGAATGGGTCTTAACGCATCAAAACCATAGATCTGGCCTCCTAGGGTCCATTTTATACGTAAAGCTTCAAACTTGGTGTACATGCATGGGGCCTTTGGCTCAAAAAGCCATAAAAGATGGTCTACAAGATGCATGGGGTGTTTATGGCAACAAAGTTGGCATCTTTATGCCATAAAGACTCCCAGTAGCTCCAGATCTGAAGCACAAACTCACTTCTACCCTCAAATCCGAGTACAACTTCACTAATGCTTAGAAGAATGTAGAAAATGGTCCAAAATAAAGATTTAAGCATTAAATAACCAAGGTTTCATCTTTGTACGTCAAATAAGCTGGAAATGTGCTCAAAACTCTGGATCTTCTTGTTTCCCCTTGATCTCACAAGCCTCCTTCTCTTCTTCAAACTTCAACCACACAAAATAACACCTCAAAGCTCAAGAACACACAAGAAATGGCTAGGGTTTCAAGGTAGGGTTTGCTCTGGACGATGGGGCTGAGATGGGGAAAGATAAGGTGTTTAAATAGGGTGCAAACCCTCAAATTTAGGGTTTCACTCAAACAGCATCCACTCGTCGAGTCGGTTTCTCGACTCGTCGAGTAAATCACTTAAACTTCCCGTGGATCACGACTCTACTCGATGATTTGAGCCCCCAACTCGTCGAGTCCTAGAGAAAAATATAAGAATTACTTGAATTAAGTACATACCAAGAATCGTGCATTACGTTTAGCCTCTAATTGTTCTTTCAAGGGTTTTTGGGCCTTCCTAAGTGTGTATCCTTCGTACTTTAGGTCCTCGTTTTCTCTACGAAATAATTCGATGTGTTGACGTAAATTTTTAACATTATCAATGCATGCTTGAGAACAAGAAATTTCACTGACCTCCTTTTTCTTAGGCTCAGAAGTGGTAGATACCATGAATGCAAACTGCAACTCCATCATCTCAGCTTCAGGATCCTCTTCAACATTCTCCGCAGGGACTTCACTGATCTGGGCCAAATGAGCATTTTCAGGTCCTGAAATGTTTAGGGCCTGAATTTGATCTTCCTAATCAAATGACTGAGCTACCATCGCCAGATTTGCAGATTCGTTGTTAGCAGCAGCTCCCCTATTATTTGCAACCGACACCATTGTTCTTTCATGATTCACTCTTCTATCAGGCTTCGAACAGTCACGAGCAAAGTGACCAGGCTCGTGACAATTAAAGCACCTCAACTTCCCTTTGTTGAATCCAACCTTCTTCTCTGCATTCATTCCCCAGTTATTCTTTCCAGTTTTCTTGGCAAATTGCTTAGCCCTGAAAACAGACATTGCAATCTGCCAAGTGATGTCCATTTCTTCTACAACCTCTGGATGAATCTGATCAAGATCAGCGAAAGAAATATGTGGAGGCAATTCTCCAGCAACAAAGGAGTTGTAGCAGTTCACTAAACCAGAAGCAAGGGCCATATTCTCTTCAACTTGCTTTGGACCAGATGTGGTAACAGGAGTTTTTAGGAGGAGGCTACATATGGATAAGGCATAGCTGGTGGAACAACATGGGATGGTGGTTGTGGAACAGCAAAAGCTTGATTTTGTGGAGTGGTAAAGGATGAAAAAGCATTGTTCGATGAAATCCCAAGATTTGCAGTTGAATAAGAGTTCACATGGTTAAATTCCCTTTACTTGTCATCAAGATCACAGGCTTTAATGATTGCCATTGTTTCCGTAAGACTGAGTCGGTTTAGATCCTTTGTCTTCTTGATAACAGAGACATTCATGTCCCACGTCTTGGGAAGGGAGTTCAGCAATGTCTTGTTAATATCTGTTATTGGCACTGAAATTCCAGCAGAACTCATCTCAGTGGTAAGAGTGATAAACCTCTGCAGTTGAGCCTCCAATGATTCTCCAAGAATATGATTAAACATGTTGAACTTCTGTCTGAGCATGTCCTGATGGCTTTGATTCATGTCTTCATTTCGCTCATAAACTTCAATTAAAGCTTCCCATAGTGCTTTGACAGAGGTATATTCCCTGAAACCTTGAGTAATATCAGGGGATAAAGCCATAGTTAGGGTTGCCAATTCCTTTTCCTGTTCTTCAAATTTATCAAAATCCTCATCAGTGTAATCTTCCACATCTTTGTCAATTATAGCTCCATTTGCAAGAGTGGTGGTAATCCTAACAGGGCCTCTAAGAATGTTGCGCCAGACTTTGAAATCTTTCATTTTGATATACTTTTCGATTCTGTATTTCCATTCAGGAAATCCTTCGGAAGACAGAAGACGTGGGATTCTTGTGGTAATTCCCATGATTAAATCTAATTCCCGATGAACTGTCATGTTTTGTGATTCCATTTTTTTTTAATTTTCTGAATTTTCTTAATTGACTGAAAATAAAACTTGTAATGAAAGCACAACTGAAAACGAAAAGGGTTCACAACCAAGAAGGGTTTATGGCCGAAAAGGCTTTACGGTCGTACAAAGATTATAGTCAAGAACAGTTTACGGTTCAAGGCAGTTCACAGTCGAAAACAGGTTGTTTTTAGTCGAAAATGGTTTACAGATGAAAACGCTAAGCGTTTACGGCCGAAAACACGATTACGACCGAAAACTAATGAACAATTGTAGCCGAAAACACCCAGAACTTGATGAAAGCAGCTGATTTCGAGCAGATCTTCAATCCCTTTAGCCTTGAAATCACGATCAACAACAGAAACTCAGTAACCAAGCTTGAACAGTCAAGAAAATGAAGAGAATCTCCAACCGAAAACGCAGATTTAACAAGTTTGACGCCAGATTGGCTCTGATACCAATTGTAAGTCCCCAAATCTGGAACCAACTAGTGATCAAACACAAGAACAGGCTATAATCAATGAGCACAAGGAGTAGAAGCAAAAATGATCCAAATTGCACACGTTTGTATTGAGTCGTAAACGTCAGGTACAATGGAACACACACACACAACCGTCGTATATTCTGACAAGACTGACACATATATATAGGGAATAGTGAACCGAAAACAGTTCACAACCGCAAACATCCTTGCAGCCGCAAACACCACTTGAACCGAAAACAACATGTTTTCGGTTCACCCAACCGCAAACCCTCTCAATACCAAGATAAAAACTAACAAAACCTATACAGATGAATGCCTAGCCCAAACCAACAAAATATGACCTAACAAACTGCGAGCTATCGGGAGAGATGACGAGATAAGAATAGAGGCATGCAATTGTTGTGTATTTTTTTGGTTTGATGTGTCGCATATATGAACGAAACCTTTAATTAGGTTAAGGGTATATTGATCAATTCCTAAACATAGTGAAATAAGGAGCTTTTGATAAGTAAGGGGTGACCAACTTATGAAAAATAATTTATTAGAGATTCCAGACAGCTATAAGAAATTTTTAAAAAACTTGTAATCCACACACTAGGTCACTACTAGAAAACAGCCTTTTACGACGCGCAATTTATGATACACGTCGATTTACGATACACAAAAGTGTGTGACCTAAAAATAATGTCATCTCTATAAATTTTAAGGATTTAGGACGCGTATTTTTGCGTGCCATTAAATTAGTGTCTAAACAAAAGAAAAAACACGGAGGGCGCCTATAATAAAATGTGTGTCGTCTGAAGATGTCGCTTTATAAATTTTAATGGAAACGAGCGTTCCATCCTTTAATAGCCGGGCGGAAAATGAAATCCTAAAAAATTAAAAAGCCCTCCTCCCTTTTTCTTCCTTTACCTCTTGCCCTAATTATCGACGCTCCTTCCTTCCCCCTCCCGACATTGGACATTGACTGCTGCCTACTTCTTCCCTCACACTTCGACCATCGTTACTTGCCATTCCCGGTCCTCGACGTCGATCAAGTTAAGCATGCCACCAGCCCACAACTTTTACTCTCTCCTTCTCCTTTTCTCTGTAAACCCTAATCCGCCTCCACCACTACCGAATCTACCTCAACTCACCTCTGACCTCGGCTCATCTCTTTCCGATCGCTGCTAATGAACCTATTTTGTGTTTAATTTGGGAGCAAATCGCGATTTTGTACACCGGAAGCCTAGATGACAGGTCCGACGCGACGGCGTCGCTTGTCTCGCTTGCGAGAGACAACGATCGGTATGGGAAGCTGATAATTGAAGAAGGCGGAGTCAATCGTTGCTAATGAACCTATTCTTTGCTTTATACTATTCGTATGCGACCTTTTAATCTCTTTGATCCAAGTTCTATTTAGGCTCCATCTGGAGGAAGTATCTTCGTATGCGACCTTCTAATTTCTTTCATCTTTTTTTACATCTCAACGTGTTTCTCGGAAGCATCATAACTGGAACCGTGCGTCAGCAACTAAAAGAGTTCTTGGATTAGTCGTCGTCCCGGAGAAAAACTTTCAGCAGATATGCCCAATCAAAATTCTTCTTCATTTTGATGGAATCAGACAACGTCTTCGTCGCCTGACTTCAATTTGAGTTTATCAGAAAGGGCGTTAGCCGCCGCTGGAGCCGCTTTTCTATCTGCAGTTATAGTAAATCCTCTCGATGTCGCAAAGGTACTCTTCTTCCTCGATTATTTTCCTTACACATGTTAGTTCCAATTTCATTCTCGACCTCTACAATACTCTGGTTGTGGATCTCGATGCCAATTGTATTGGTTTCCCTGATTTGATCAGGAGAATTGATTGGCTTCGTGTATTGCCTGATTATGCAGACTAGATTGCAAGCTCAGGCTGCTGGTGTTCCATATCAGAATCTCCACTCCAAATGTCGCTTTGAACCAAACACAGGTTCAATTTTCGAAGTCACCGTCTTTCCAAATCGAATCCAAAGGTTCAATTTCCTGAACTCATCGTCACTCTTGTTCTATTGCTACACGAAATTACAGTTTTTTGTTCTAAAATGTTGTGATGTTGGGGAAGCAACTGTTTCTAGCTTGGGCTGGATGGTATAGAACCTTCTAGAAATATTTCAAGTATAATTATCATGTGTTATCTTATTTTTTCCTATCAAGCATATATGATAATATACATATTCTTCTTGTTTTTAGGGTTTGTGTCTGGACTGCTGTGATGTTGTGTGTTCTTACTATACTCGATGCTTGCACACTCATCACAAGATTCACAAGGGTTGCTGGTGAACTTTTTGGCATGTTGATTTCAGTGTTCTTTATGCAAGAGGCTATTAAGGTACATGCAGATGCACTTGTTAATGTTTTGACTTTCCTTTTGAGAGATAATTCATTCAGTGTGATCTTATGTTGGATATTTTAGGGAGTTATTAGTGAGTTCCATATACCAAAAGGAGAAAATGAAAGAGTAGAGGAGTACCAATTTCAATGGCTATATACAAACGGGTTGCTTGCAATTATTTTGGCATTTGGTACCCTCATGACTTCCATGAAGAGTAGAGGTGCTAGGGCTTGGCCATATGGTGTAGGTAATTGAGGAAGTCATGTAATTTATTTATTTTTTTATTTTACATGCATTTACTTTCTTATTTAATATGTTTTATATTTTTTGGTAAGGACAGGGTGGATGCGTGGTCTTATAGCAGACTATGGGGTTCCTCTAATGGTGTTAGTGTGGACTGCAATATATTATATCAAGCCTAGAGATGTTCCTCCTGGTGTTCCTAGACGCCTTTTTTGTCCCCTTCCTTGGGAACCTGGATCTTTGTCTCATTGGACAGTCATTAGGGTATTTTTTTACTGCTGGTAATAACAATGTGAGCACTTGTGGCAAAAGTGTGATTTTGGATTAAGCTATTGGCAAAAGTTGCTGTAATCGTGTGTCTAGCCTTCCTTTCTATAACTAGTACAGAGATATTTGGAATGGACAAAATAAAGAGCAGAGCTTATTAGTACAGAAAACGTCTCTATGAAGTTTTCTTTACAGAACCAGTCCATATGCTTAACATCATTACAAGCAGTAGAAAGAATTGTTCGCTAACTGCTATACATCATTACAAGCAGTGACTCTCTCTTTGTAAGGTATATCTGATATTATCATTCAGTTTCTTCAGCTTTGGAGTTTTCAGAAGCCATGAGAAGTATGATTGCTTTCATTTAGCTGTTGGCAAGGTTTTAAGGGAAGCAGCAGAAGCTAAAGCTGCTGCTCAAGCTGAGGCTACAGAATGGAAACACAAATATGAATTGGAAAGAGAAAAGAATCTGCAATTGGAACAAAAATAAGAACCAAAGTTGACCAATGTTTCAATTTTGATCTAAAAATGGGAAAATCAGAAAGTTCAGGAACCATTTTTTTTATAATTTTACCCTAAAACATATTATTTTGTGCATTTTACTAGCATCTTATTTGGAACATCTGTAGTTTTTTGACTTACTATTTTCTTAGTAATTGAAGTATATATTCACAAAACCATTTTTTTCTTTCATTTTAGGTCCAACATTTGCTGAGAATCCTGGAAACTTTGAGCAAAAAGTAGGAGGCTCAGGATCCATGAAACACCTTCCAATTGAGCTTGAAAGTGGTGAAAAATCTCAAAGGTGTTGTGGAGAAAATAGGATTTGCTCTCATGTAAGTTTTTGATCAATGTTCAAGTATTGATCCTGGTCCAATTTATAAAGTCATACTTAATCTTCTTCTGATGCTTACTATAGTCATTTGTTGAGATAAATGAGGTCTGTATGAAGTAAGTAGTAAATGAAAAAAGTTGTTCCTTTTTTGTTTTGAATGAACTGTAAATGACCATTTTACCCCTCTTTTCAGAGTTAGTGCTGAATAACCAGTTCCCTCAATTTCCTGTTAAGAGCTTATGTGGAACTATATAGCAACATTCTTTTTCTTCATCATTTCTATTTTTAATCTATTAATAGCATCTTTTCTGATTCAGGCATCTTTTAAACTAAAATGGTGTAGCAAAAGTAAAAAAGATGATCAACATAAACATGACATTGTCTCCTTTGAGAAGGGAAATATAACCACAGCAGAACGTAGCAGTAAACATGTATATTTTAATTTAATTATGAAAATATGTTTATATTTCTTGCATTTTACCTTATATTATATTAGTCTTTGTTTGTATTTTCATGAAGAATATGATGAGATGCATTATATTGCTTACATTTTATAATTCAGATTTCTTTGAAGTGGGAAACTCCTCCTCAGACTGTGCTTATCTTGACAAAACCAAATTCAACTTCAGTCAAAATCCTTTGTGCAGAAATGGTCAGGTATTATGACTTCAATTGTCTTCTTAAAGGTTATTTTTGGCATATGGTTATTAGTCAATCACTTCTGTTAAAGGATATTTCTTTGAGCTTATGCATTACATTGTTGTATATTATTATTTACAATATTTCTTTGAGCTTCTAATATAGTTGGTTGAAGGAAAAGAGAAGTATGAATATATTTGTTGAACCACGAGTACGAAATGAGCTTCTAGAAGAATCTTCATACTTTTAACTTTGCACAATCATGGATAGATGGTGAGTTAATTTCATCTACCTTCAACATAGATGCATAAAGTTCATGCTTACATAGTGGGATTTGTTGGTTTATACGAATCTAATGGTTGCATTATTCAAATTTGTAGGTCTTGTTGATGTACATAGTGTCAAGCAAAGTAGCTCGGGATGTTGTGAAGGTGTGAATCTAATGGTTGCATTATTTGTTGATGACTTTCATCTCTTTCACATTTGATGTATTACATTTGTCTACTACTAGTGGAATGATTATTTGTATGACATTAACTTTTGTGCAATGGATTGTATTTTTTGTATATGGTATTTTATTTTCTATTGTGAGACATGAAATGCAAATTTAATTTGAAAATTAGTAAATCTATAAATATTTTTTTAAAATTTTTTTTTTAAAATTACGATACGCAAAAATGTGTGTCATCTTCATTTATGACATGGTCTTTCTTGACAGCGGCTTTAATGATACGCATTGCGTGTCATAAATGCACGTTGTCTATAGACGACACGCAAAAGCGTGTCGTCTCTCGTTATGACAGGGCCTTCCTTGACACGCATTTGCGCGTCGTCTGAGCGTTTTACGACACGCATTGCGCGTCGTAAAAGGCTGTTTTTCTAGTAGTGGGTGTGGAACCGGTAATAAGTCAAAAAGCTCATTAAATAAGCTTATCCAAACACCCTCTGAATGTGTAAAACAAAAAAGAAAGGGAAAGCCCGAGGTTTTAATGTGTAGGAAAAAACAACGTAGCATTAAGATTTGGCATCTAAGCTTGTATAGGGTTGTTAGGTATATTCATTTTTCCCATATATAGTAGAGATTTTTGTGGAAGTCACAGTATTGATTAGGATCTCTAATACAGATTTCTTACTTTTGTTGTTATTATGTAATGCCAGATCTTGAGGTACTTTATGTTTTAATTTTGTTGGCATTTTAGGGTCGTCACGAAGTGGTGGAGGCACCACCATGACATAGCAAGGCAAGCTTGGAACGCGTGTTTCATTTAAGCCGCTATGGCATGGGAGTATATGGCTACAACATCACAACTGTCTGATGGAAAGCCCTATTTTTTGGGTTTTCTCTCTATTTAAAGGAATAGGGAGGATAGGGTTGACTCATCCTCAGCCTCTATCAACCTCCTAAAGCTCTGAAGTAGCCATAATATCTTCCCACCATTGTTGAAGCTCTTTTGGTGCTCTTGGAAGTTATTGAAAGAATAAGGAAGAAGAAGTGAGCTAAGATTCAGCAAGCAAGTCTCCATTTTTGACATAACACTCTTCTGGACCTTTGTATGAATACAAGACTCGATCTTTATCATGTTAGGTTGCTAGATCTTGAGTTTTGTCCCTTAATCTTCATGTTCTTGTTAGTTGGGTTAGTGAGATCTCATAAAGTTTTCAACTTTATGAATCTCTGGTACACTTGGTGTGATTGGTGGTTTGGATCTGAATAATAGTTGAGTTTTTGAGCCATGCATGAGATTTTTATCAAAAACCCTTGTTGTGACTCATTATGTCTTCAAGACATGTATTGGACATGCATGTCTATAAAGCACAAACATGTATGTTAGTTTGGAGAAAGAAACCCTTCTAGAGTTAATGGCCTAATGACTTATTAGAATATGTGCTTAATAGATGAATCCATGCCTTGTCTAGCCAATTGGGAACCTAGGGTTTGAGATTTAGACCTTTTGGATAGTCTTAATTGATAGAGTTAGAAACTTTATTGTTCTAGACATCGGTCCATATCTGAGCTTTGAAACTTTTTGGGTTAAAGGAGCAGCTTATTCCATTAAGTTGTTTGGAACCCAGTTCCCATGACATGGCATCTGATCGCCACGTCATGGCGACTGGGGATGGATTGACTGTTTTGTCGTGATTCGGTGCCACGATGTGGCCAAGGATGGCCACAGCGTGGCGATTTGCTGAAAGGAGAAGTTTGACAATTGACCTTAACCTTTAACCATTGACTTCAGCTTGAGTTGACTTTTGGTCTAACTCCTGGTTTTGGAAGAAGATCTAAGGACTTACCTGGTATAACCATATATGTTGTGCTCAGCATCGGTGTTTCTGGCAGTGAGAGCTGCAGCAGCAGAGTATCGAATGAGAGGTGAGTCTTTTCACTGTATTTGTTGGTCGAAGGCACCAATGCCAGCCCAATGGATTATGTTATATAGGTTTTTATATGTCTTTTTGACTCTTGCATGTATGATTGGGTTGAAATACCCCTGGTCTGGGCCCATTATTGAATGTTTGGATTGAAATATACCCTAGGGTCGGACCTATTATTGTATGTTGGGTTCAAACATAACCTAGGGCTGAGCTCACTGATTTGTATGCCATGTGATAATTTGGAGAACTCACTAAGTTTTGTGATTACGATTTATTGTTTATGGGTTCATGTACTTCTAGTACGAAAGGGAAGGGACCGGTGTGATCGCACAACATCCCTCTTATGTTTCTGTATTGATTTCTGTTATAATCTGATGTGATTATGATACACTATTTTGTGATGGATATTGTGCCACCGATTGTATGGATTGATGATTTTTAAATTAAGAAATTATACCTATGCTTTTTGGATGGTACAAGTTGGTATCAGAGCCTTGGTTTGAGGGATTCGGGCACGCTTTCGACTTAGTTTAATTGTTAGGCATATGCTTTAAAAGTTATAAATGATTAGGCTTATATTGCCCATAGAATGACTGGTTTAGCCTTACTTCCTGATCATCGTTTGGTTGTGGATTTAGGGTAGAATCATTATTCGACAATCTATCTTATCCCATTTTGTGTACAACTTGCATGCATAAGGCAACAAACAGTGTTGGTTGAGATTCTAAGTATTACAGGGCAGTCGAGTTCATAATTCCTAGGAGAGCCTAGGAAATGCCATAGTGGGATATGTATGTTGTTTAGCATAGGGATGGTGTGTATGGAATTGTAGTCTGACTTAGAGGACTCATGATGGTTCTTGAGGAAAGTACAGATATGTGTGGAAGGTAGTATTGGGCCCGTACTACTACAAGAACATGATTTGTACTCGAGTCAAGGACGGTCTCGGAGATTCTAAGGGGCCTATAGAGTGGAAGTTCCCTCGAGATTATGCCGATCGTTTGTGTGTTTGTATTTCAGTTGAATATCGTGACCACTCAAGGAGGAGTTTCTGGATTTGGTTCTGGCTCTAATGTCGAACCGATGGATGAGCGGTTTCACGAGTTTATCACATCATATATTAATTGTAGTATCATGGAGGCCACCCTTGTGATTTTCGGTACCATCAAGGAAGAGATTATGAAGCTTTGGGATGAGCGACTTGGGGCCTGTGACATCCTGGAATTTAGGGAATGGACTACGAACGATTAAAATACAATAAATCTTTTTGTAACTTAATTCATTCAATTTTAGTGCATCTAATGAAAAATAAATGAGTTCATTCCAAATATTTTAATATGTCAAATGATACCTTACTTACAAATGTGTAAACTATCAAATGAATCAAACATCTCAAACTGCAACACTCATTAATGTGTCAGCAAAACTAAAATTTCGTATTATGTAGTTTTGAGCGAAACAAACTAATATCATTTTAGTGCGTGTTCCACTGTTTCCGAAAATATAAAGAACGTCCAAAACGGACTACGTATGAAAAAAAATATGACAATGTGAAAAAATAGACAGTAAAAAACAAGTTTTCTTTAATCGCGTAAAGCCGAATCGATCTATTGAGACACTCACACACCTCCGATGCTAATTCC